ATGGACTTCGAGGAAGCTTCTCAAAAACGTCAACGCAACGCCGAATCCTCGGCTGAAGACAGTCAAACCAGCTATGACACGAGCAGTGAAGAATCCTCCGTCTTAGACGAAGAGGAGGAAACTGATAAAAATGCTCCTATTACCCAATCTCAACTGAAGGGATTAATGGAGGAACTTGAGCTTCTACGTCAGGAAAACCAACGCCTGAAGAACCATTTAATGCCCGAAAACAACAACCTCGGGGCAATAAAAAAGAAGTCGAAAACAACTATAAATGCATCAGCGCCTACCTATAACGCCAAAGAATTCCCGTCTCTTCCGGACGGCACGCAGCGACCAAAAATCAACAAAAAGACGGTGAGCACCAGCAGCCGTCGCCACGACAACCTTGGGAATACCGGCAATGAAACAGCCCATACAGGAAGGTCCCAAGGAGCCCAAAAGATGACTGCGTCGAAAAAACTGATTCCGCCCATAATTACTTATGTATGTTGCGCAATTCTATTAAAGACAACAAGTTTTCCTTGAACATAATGAACAAAAACCTATTGCACATAAGGGTATTTTGCCTAGAGCACTACCTTCAGGCTAAAGAATTACTAACAGCAAAACAACTAATGTACTTTTCATACACACCAAAGGAACTAAGAAAACACTCAAAGGTAATCAAAAAACTACCTCATGAGGTTTTTCAAGCCGACGATATACAAACGGCCCTTAAAGAAAGTTTGCCTCTTATTAAATCGATAACAGTAAAGTCGTTTAAAAATAAATTCTGGTTAGTCCAAGTAGAAACAATTGAAGAAATGAAACAAGTTTTCCATCTTAAAACCTTGCTCAACTGCCGCATAGTGGTAGAGGGGCTAAAGAAAAACAAAAACGAAGTTAGACAATGTCACAACTGTCAAAAATACACCCATGTAGCCAGCAATTGCAATATGGGATATAGATGCGTTAAATGCACGGCTCCTCATGGTCCTGGCCAATGCGCAATAAAAGAGTCCGAAAATCCGTCCGATAAAACTGAAGCAAAATGTGTAAACTGCAAGGGGGCCCACACTGCAAATGCAAAAGTCTGTCCAGTCCGAATCGCAGTTAAGGAAAAACAAATCAAAAACAGGAAAACCACAAATATCAAAATTGATCGCGTAATAAGCAAAGCAGAAAGCCTTTCACTCATCAGGGGAGAAAAGAGTTTCTCATCGCTGTTCTCAACGAATGACAACAAACAAGCAGCAGCAAAACCCACTGCAAAAAAAGTACAGCCACAACAAAAAGTAGCTACTACCAACAGTGAGCTTAATAAACATATGGAAAACAGATTAAGACAAACAAACCCTTTTGAATCCTTCAATAATGATACAATAGAAATTTTCGGCAAAGACATTATATCTTGCGTTGAAATCATGCAAGGGGTGACTGAAAAATACACCGGAACTGCAAATCTCAGCGGATCTGAGCAGAAAAGACAGAAGCAGGAGATTATTCTAGACTTCCTTTTTCAAATCTCGATGAATTAAATGTCTCATCTTAAATGCATCTTCCAAAATGTAAACTCTATCGTGTCCCTACAAAAAAGGAACGAACTAAACTCATTCTTAAATAAACATAGACCAGACGTCATGCTCATAGCTGAGCACCGTCTAAATCAAAAACACTTAATCACACTGTCCCAATATCAGTTTATTCGACAATTATCTAGAGCAACAGATACAAGAATAGAGCAAACGTCATGTTCTCCAAACTCAAAATCGACGTTCCTCAGTTGCCATATGCCTAAAAAATGGAACAAAATACCAAAGAATAGAATTGAGACAATTGCGCTTTTTAGAAGCAACAGCCGTAGAACTAAACTACAATCTGTCAAATGGGTTATGTCATAACGTCGTTGTCGTATCACTTTACAAGCGGCCAAAAGATCCTTTGTGCACATCAGATCTAAACAAAATTATAGACTCCATTGCTAAAAAATCTCCCAACAGCCAAATATTAATAGGTTTGCGACTTAAATGCCAAGCATACAAGCTGGCATGTCCCAACGCATAGTTCACCACACATAAATAGCAGCGGAAAGATGCTTCACAATTGGCTTTTGGGGCAACCAAGCCTCGTTCTCTATCCCACGGAAGAACACTCCCGACAGAACCTAAATAATAGGCATTAGTCAATAGATTTTTTCAAATGTTCAAATGAACTTCCCGCCGATCTAGGTGATGGCTGTAAAGTCCTCAAAGACTTTGCATCAGACCACTTTGGTGTGGAACTAAAAATACGATTGGGAAGATTCCACCTGACACAGACGGACCCCAAGTGCATACACAATTTCAGAGAAATGAACGATCTCTTATGGAATACAATTATATTAAGAAACATAAGCCAGATCCCAAACAATAACAATCTAAGCTCAGCTGACATTGATGCACATATTGAACAACTCAATCGAGCGCTAGAACAGGCTCTAAACTCTTCGGCTGCCATCCCAAAAATTGTGTCTGACCAAACCAGAGCAATCAAAACTATTAGGCCCAGCCGCCTATTCCTAAACCTAATTAAAAATCGCCGAGCACTAAGACGCCTGCTCTTCAAGTGGCAAACAACCTTATCAACTAATAAAAAGTTGCAAATAAAACCACTTATAAGCAACCTTTCTATGCAAATAAACACTCACCTAAAAATAAGCCACCTAAAATTTGTAGAAAATCAAATTAAATATATTAAACCTCAAAACATAAGACTACAATTTTTGTCAAACAAAGGTTCAGAAAGCAAACTCCTAAGTTATGATATACACCTCACAGAAATAGAAAAGAATAATATAGATATACCCACGCCTGAAATCATACATTCCAAATTTGAAAAGGTCAATGCGCTAGCTTGGTCATTTGAACAGATACACAAGCAAAACGAAAACATGACATTGAGCTGTTCGTCTCTACAACAGCACACCAGCCATGTCAATAATTCAATAAACAACAATTTCGACGAAAACTCAAATAACAGGTCAAACATAGTAGACTTCAACAATAATCTCACTGCAGATGGTAACTGGAGAGAAGCCGACCAACTTGGTTTTACTAATGTCGAACAACTTCTTGATTGGATAAGAAACGCAAATGGGAAAAAGACACTAGGAACTGACTGTTCTAGCAACTTTCTCCTAAAAAAGTGTAACATGTTATTCCTTAGTCACTTTGCTAGGCTATTTAATCACTGTTATAACATAGAATATTTCCCCAATAGCTGGAAGTGCAGTAGAGTCATCCCGATTCCGAAAAACAAGCAAAAGCCAGATCGACTCCAAAGTTACAGGCCAATATCCATCCTTTTGGCTATAAGCCAACTATTAGAAAAAATGTTATTGAGCCAAATAAAAAAGCACATGAATATAAAATCAATTCTCAAACCCTTCCAATTCGGATTTAGAGAAAATACATCCGTAAACCACTCCCTAGCAGTTGAAAATAACTTTATCTTTGGAAATCTAGCACAAAAACGGGCCACCATAGCATGTGGACTCGACTTCGAAAAAGCCTTTGATACCGTGTGGACAAACGGGTTAATCTATAAGATGTCCCAAACATTCAACTTTAACTCAAACCTCACAAGGATCCTACATAGCTATCTTACGCAAAGATCATTTTTCGTCTGCAGCCCCGATGGTGCAGAACGCTCAATGATCATCCTCAACTGCTCGCATTCAACCATTAATATATGCAGGCGATATACTCCTTCTCGCTTCAGGAGCCAGAATCGCAAGTGCAGAAACGGACCTTACTTCGTATCTCGATCAATTATGCATATATTTCAAAACATGGCGCTTAAAGTTAAAAACGAATAAATGTGAAGGCTGTAATCTAAAAGGACAAAATCAAAATGACATATACAGAAATGCACGAAATTTTCAACCTAAAATTTTTATAAACAACACCTCCGAAATAAAGATAAGATCAAAACTTAAATATCTAGGTATAACTTATGACCAAAAGCTAAACTTTTGCAGTCACATTGAAAATACACTTAAGAAGGCAAAGATGCAATTCCACCAAATTCATCATATATTCGGTCCTTTAATTAGCAGTGGGGCTGGACCCAACTCTCAACTAGTAAAAACTAAGTCATACATATATAAAAAAATTATACAACCAATCCTAGTCTACGGCCAAATAGGCTGGTTTAACCTGGACTCTAAAAACATAAACCATAGAACCATAGGCTCTGCTGCCAGAAACCCAGTCACTAGGCACTACATAAATAACAAGAAGCTTTATAAATTAACAAAAACTAAACGAATAGATATCCACACTTTCAACATAATAAAAAAGTTCCTACAAATAAACCAAAGTAATCAAAACCCATTAGTACTTGACAGCATAACACAAACTAGGTTACCAGCCAATGTCAACCACTTAACAATAAAACACATTAATCGCCTTAAAGAAATAGGTATAATATATGATCTCAATATCGTTATCGTTGCTAAACTATTTTCAAGTTGAGTTTAATAGTTTTTCGATTTTTTAATGAGATTTTAATGGCTTGGCTATTCCCATACAATCTTGCTCCTATTTAAAATCGTATCAAGTCCCAATCAAAAGGAAAGTTTAAATTGTATTCTTTTTCGACATATTTTTTATTTTGCTTAATAGTTGTAGGATTCCCAAACGTTGCTGACTTATTTTCAGAGCGTGTTTTGCAGTTTTTCGATTTTTTAATGAGACTTGAATGGGCTATGTGGCTTGTGCTTGTCACAAACAACCTTGTGCCTGATAAAAGTCCCACCAAATACCAATCGAAAAAATACAAATTTTGAACTTTTTCGAGATAGGTTTTGTTTTATTTGATAAATAAGGGATTCGTTATTGTTGCTAACTTATTTTAAAATTGAGTTTAATAGTTTTTCGGTTTTTTAATGACAGTTGAATGGTTAGTGCTATTCCCTTAAACCTTGCACATTGTTCACATCCCAATGCCACACCCCTAAAGCGAATTATTTATTAAAATAAAATACATATTTACATATTTATTATAATTAGAAGACGGCAAAAGAAAAATTAATATGTCATCAAAAGTATTTTGTGGTCCTGAAAAGGACCGATTTGTACAAAGTATGCTAGCGCATTGGTCGCTAGTTGAGACCGTCTCAGCTTAAGCACGCTCACCGCGAATGCGACGGGCCAACTGGATGTCCTTGGGCATGATTGTTACACGCTTGGCATGAATGGCACACAAGTTGGTATCTTCAAAAAGGCCAACAAGATATGCTTCGCTAGCTTCCTGAAGAGCCATCACTGCCGAGCTCTGGAACCGCAAATCAGTCTTGAAGTCCTGAGCGATCTCACGCACCAGACGCTGGAAAGGCAGTTTGCGAATCAGCAGCTCGGTACTCTTCTGGTAGCGGCGGATCTCACGCAGGGCCACAGTTCCGGGGCGATAGCGATGGGGCTTCTTCACGCCTCCGGTGGCTGGGGCGCTCTTACGAGCGGCCTTGGTGGCCAGTTGTTTGCGTGGCGCCTTGCCACCAGTCGACTTGCGAGCGGTTTGCTTGGTACGAGCCATTTTCGATTTCTATGTTGATATTTATATTCACTGATGTTCACTTCGCGTCTGAAAACACAATAAACGGTTGCCGCGTTCGCTGCCTGCTTATATAGCAAAATGTGAAGGGTTGGAAAGAGAAAGAGGCAGAGGCCATCTCGTTTGACGAGCGAAGAGCGAGACGAATATATCGCTCGGACTCGCTCGGGTATCTATGGGTTTAGGTATAAATAGGGGCACGCCGAAAAATCGGAATTAGTTCTTTCGTGCAGTGTGTTAATAGTAGAAAAGTGAAAAAAGACTGGTCGCGGTAAAGGAGGCAAGGCTTGGGAAAAGGTGGCGCCAAGCGTCATCGCAAAGTGCTGCGTGATAACATCCAGGGTATTACGAAGCCAGCCATACGCCGTTTGGCTCGCCGTGGCGGTGTGAAGCGCATCTCCGGACTAATTTACGAGGAAACACGTGGCGTTCTGAAGGTGTTCCTGGAGAACGTTATCCGTGATGCCGTCACCTACACCGAACACGCCAAGAGGAAGACTGTCACAGCCATGGATGTCGTGTACGCCCTGAAGAGGCAAGGCCGCACCCTGTACGGTTTCGGCGCTTAAAAACAAGTACAGCTTGTACTTCATTCAGCAATCGGTCCTTTTCAGGACCACCACTACATCTCCACAGCAGACAAATTTTCAAAACATTTTACGCTTTTTTGTTTTATTGGCTGGGAACTCCAAATTGGGAGTGAACAAAATCGAAATATTTTGTTTTCACTGCGAGCATTCGTCAGTTTCTTAAACAGGTAGAAAAATGTGTTGTAAAACAATCACTTACAGACATGTATAAAAATGTTTTTTGTTCAGACTGTACTGTTTCAGATGCGAAAGCAGTCTGTCTGATAAAGTTATACAATAAAATTATTATTTAACTTCCCGAACATTTTTAAAACCAAAGATGCTGTGTTCACTAGATACATATTTTTTATTTGAAATACTTTTTGATGCCTGATGTTCTATTTGAAAATATTAACAATTATTTGGTAAAAACTTGGTCGTCCTGAAAAGGACGGTTGGGTATGTTTATGTACAAGTATGTAGTTGGCTCTGCTTTTGGAACGTTTAAGCCTTCTTCTCGGTCTTCTTGGGGAACAGAACAGCCTGGATATTGGGCAATACTCCACCCTGGGCAATGGTGACGCCGGAGAGCAGCTTGTTCAATTCTTCGTCGTTGCGAATGGCCAGCTGCAGATGACGCGGGATAATCCTAGTCTTCTTGTTGTCACGAGCAGCATTGCCAGCCAACTCGAGAACCTCGGCGGCCAGATATTCCATCACGGCAGCCAGGTAAACCGGAGCGCCGGCACCAACACGCTCGGCATAGTTGCCCTTGCGGAGCAGACGGTAAATACGGCCTACTGGGAACTGAAGACCAGCCCGGTTGGAGCGGGACTTTGCCTTTCCCTTCACTTTGCCACCTTTTCCACGACCAGACATTTTGCTTTATTTCACTTAGTTCACTTAACACACAAAAACGAATGCTCGAGAAAAATTGGTAGCCACATATTTATACTTTTTTGCCTGCCTGCGCGTTTAGTTAGGGGTGGGTGCCTTATACCTGAAAAGGTTGCTCGAAAAAAAGTATAAGCGTGAACGCGTTCCCGCTCCGTTATGATCAGTGAATTGTGTTTGTGAAATTAAAAGTGAACTGAAATAATGCCGCCGAAAACTAGTGGAAAGGCAGCTTCTGAGAAAAGCTCGATTTCTTAGAATTTCGAAATTCAATGAATTCAGATAGAGACTGAGAAACCAAAATAAATTAAAAAGAAAAATCGATACAGATAGTGACTGAATAAATATCGAATAAAAATATAAAATTTTCGACAAACAATCACAAAACGCGAAATGCCCCTTATACGGTAAACGCAAGAAATCAAAAAATAACCGATAGTGCCTTAACAAAGATGCAAACAAATATGCCAGCTAAAACTGACCCGGTAGTGCTTGCAGCCTCTGCTGACGAGCTTAGTGTTAGCACCAACCGAGAAATGGACTTCGAGGAAGCTTCTCAAAAACGTCAACGCAACGCCGAATCCTCGGCTGAAGACAGTCAAACCAGCTATGACACGAGCAGTGAAGAATCCTCCGTCTTCGACGAAGAGGAGGAAACTGATAAAAATGCTCCTATTACCCAATCTCAACTGAAGGGATTAATGGAGGAACTTGAGCTTCTTTGTCAGGAAAACCAACGCCTGAAGAACCAATTAATGCCCGAAACAAAAAAAAAAAAGTCGAAAACAACTATAAATGCATTAGCGCCTACCTATAACGCCAACGAATTCCCGTCTCTTCCGGACGGCTCGCAGCGACCACAAATCAACAAAAAGACGGTGAGCACCAGCAGCCGTCGCCACGACAACCTTAGGAATACCGGCAATGAAAAAGCCCATACAGGAAGGTCCCAAGGAGCCCAAAAGATGACTGCGTCGAAAAAACTGATTCCGCCCATAATTACTTATGTATGTTGCGCAATTCTAAGACAACAAGTTTTCCTTGAACATAATGAACAAAAACCTATTGCACATAAGGGTATTTTGCCTAGAGCACTACCTTCAGGCTAAAGAATTACTAACAGCAAAACAACTAATGTACTTTTCATACTCACCAAAGGAACTAAGAAAACACTCAAAGGTAATCAAAAAACTACCTCATGAGGTTTTTCACGTCGGCTTGAAAAACCTCATGAGGTAGTTTTTTGATTACCTTTGAGTGTTTTCTTAGTATACAAACGGCCCTTAAAGAAAGTTTGCCTCTTATTAAATCGATAACAGTAAAGACGTTTAAAAATAAATTCTGGTTAGTCCAAGTAGAAACAATTGAAGAAATGAAACAAGTTTTCCATCTTAAAACCTTGCTCAACTGCCGCATAGTGGTAGAGGGGCTAAAGAAAAACAAAAACGAAGTTAGACAATGTCACAACTGTCAAAGATACACCCATGTAGCCAGCAATTGTAATATGGGATATAGATGCGTTAAATGCACGGCTCCTCATGGTCCTGGCCAATGCGCAATAAAAGAGTCCGAAAATCCGTCCGATAAAACTGAAGCAAAATGTGTAAACTGCAAGGGGGCCCACTCTGCAAATGCAAAAGTCTGTCCAGTCCGAATCGCAGTTAAGGAAAAACAAATCAAAAACAGGAAAACCACAAATATCAAAATTGATCGCGTAATAAGCAAAGCAGAAAGCCTTTCACTCATCAGGGGAGAAAAGAGTTTCTCATCAACGAATGACAACAAACAGGCAGCAGCAAAAACCCACTGCAAAAAAATTACAGCCACAACAAAAATTAGCTACTACCAACAGTGAGCTTAATAAACATATGGAAAACAGATTAAGACAAACAAACCCTTTTGAATCCTTCAATAATGATACAATAGAAATTTTCGGCAACGACGTTATATCTTGCGTTGAAATCATGCATGGGGTGACTGAAAAATACACCGGAACTGCAAATCTCAGCGGATCTGAGCAGAAAAGACAGAAGCAGGAGATTATTCTAGACTTCCTATTTCAAATCTCGATGAATTAAATGTCTCATCTTAAATGCATCTTCCAAAATGTAAACTCTATCGTGTCCCTACAAAAAAGGAACGAACTAAACTCATTCTTAAATAAACATAGACCAGACGTCATGCTCATAGCTGAGCACCGTCTAAATCAAAAACACTTAATCACACTGTCCCATTATCAGTTTATTCGACAATTATCTAGAGCAACAGATACAAGAATAGAGCAAACGTCATGTTCTCCAAACTCAAAATCGAAGTTCCTCAGTTGCCATATGCCTAAAAAATGGAACAAAATACCAAAGAATAGAATTGGGACAATTGCGCTTTTTAGAAGCAACAGCCGTAGAACTAAACTACAATCTGTCAAATGGGTTATGTCATAACGTCGTTGTCGTATCACTTTACAAGCGGCCAAAAGATCCTTTGTGCACATCAGATCTAAACAAAATTATAGACTCCATTGCTAAAAAATCTCCCAACAGCCAAATATTAATAGGTTTGCGACTTAAATGCCAAGCATACAAGCTGGCATGTCCCAACGCATAGTTCATCACACATAAATAGCAGCGGAAAGATGCTTCACAATTGGCTTTTGGGGCAACCAAGCCTCGTTCTCTATCCCACGGAAGAACACTCCCGACAGAACCTAAATAATAGGCATTAGTCAATAGATTTTTTAAAATGTTCAAATGAACTTCCCGCCGATCTAGGTGATGGCTGTAAAGTCCTCAAAGACTTTGCATCAGACCACTTTGGTGTGGAACTAAAAATACGATTGGGAAGATTCCACCTGACACAGACGGACCCCAAGTGCATACACAATTTCAGAGAAATGAACGATCTCTTATGGAATACAATTATATTAAGAAACATAAGCCAGATCCCAAACAATAACAATCTAAGCTCAGCTGACATTGATGCACATATTGAACAACTCAATCGAGCGCTAGAACAGGCTCTAAACCCTTCGGCTGCCATCCCAAAAATTGTGTCTGACCAAACCAGAGCAATCAAAACTATTAGGCCCAGCCGCCTATTCCTAAACCTAATTAAAAATCGCCGAGCACTAAGACGCCTGCTCTTCAAGTGGCAAACAACCTTATCAACTAATAAAAAGTTGCAAATAAAACCACTTATAAGCAACCTTTCTATGCAAATAAACACTCACCTAAAAATAAGCCACCTAAAATTTGTAGAAAATCAAATTAAATATATTAAACCTCAAAACATAAGACTACAATTTTTGTCAAACAAAGGTTCAGAAAGCAAACTCCTAAGTTATGATATACACCTCACAGAAATAGAAAAGAATAATATAGATATACCCACGCCTGAAATCATACATTCCAAATTTGAAAAGGTCAATGCGCTAGCTTGGTCATTTGAACAGATACACAAGCAAAACGAAAACATGACATTGAGCTGTTCGTCTCTACAACAGCACACCAGCCATGTCAATAATTCAATAAACAACAATTTCGACGAAAACTCAAATAACAGGTCAAACATAGTAGACTTCAACAATAATCTCACTGCAGATGGTAACTGGAGAGAAGCCGACCAACTTGGTTTTACTAATGTCGAACAACTTCTTGATTGGATAAGAAACGCAAATGGGAAAAAGACACTAGGAACTGACTGTTCTAGCAACTTTCTCCTAAAAAAGTGTAACATGTTATTCCTTAGTCACTTTGCTAGGCTATTTAATCACTGTTATAACATAGAATATTTCCCCAATAGCTGGAAGTGCAGTAGAGTCATCCCGATTCCGAAAAACAAGCAAAAGCCAGATCGACTCCAAAGTTACAGGCCAATATCCATCCTTTTGGCTAAGCCAACTATTAGAAAAAATGTTATTGAGCCAAATAAAAAAGCACATGAATATAAATTCAATTCTCAAACCCTTCCAATTCGGATTTAGAGAAAATACATCCGTAAACCACTCCCTAGCAGTTGAAAATAACTTTATCTTTGGAAATCTAGCACAAAAACGGGCCACCATAGCATGTGGACTCGACTTCGAAAAAGACGAAATTTTCAACCTTAAATTTTTATAAACAACATCTCCGAAATAAAGATAAGATCAAAACTTAAATATCTAGGTATAACTTATGACCAAAAGCTAAACTTTTGCAGTCACATTGAAAATACACTTAAGAAGGCAAAGATGCAATTCCACCAAATTCATCATATATTCGGTCCTGTAATTAGCAGTGGGGCTGGACCCAACTCTCAACTAGTAAAAACTAAGTCATACATATATAAAAAAATTATACAACCAATCCTAGTCTACGGCCAAATAGGCTGGTTTAACCTGGACTCTAAAAACATAAACCATAGAACCATAGGCTCTGCTGCCAGAAACCCAGTCACTAGGCACTACATAAATAACAAGAAGCTTTATAAATTAACAAAAACTAAACGAATAGATATCCACACTTTCAACATAATAAAAAAGTTCCTACAAATAAACCAAAGTAATCAAAACCCATTAGTACTTGACAGCATAACACAAACTAGGTTACCAACCAATGTCAACCACTTAACAATAAAACACATTAATCGCCTTAAAGAAATAGGTATAATATATGATCTCAATATCGTTATCGTTGCTAAACTATTTTCAAGTTGAGTTTAATAGTTTTTCGATTTTTTAATGAGATTTTAATGGCTTGGCTATTCCCATACAATCTTGCTCCTATTTAAAATCGTATCAAGTCCCAATCAAAAGGAAAGTTTAAATTGTATTCTTTTTCGACATATTTTTTATTTTGCTTAATAGTTGTAGGATTCCCAAACGTTGCTGACTTATTTTCAGAGCGTGTTTTGCAGTTTTTCGATTTTTTAATGAGACTTGAATGGGCTATGTGGCTTGTGCTTGTCACAAACAACCTTGTGCCTGATAAAAGTCCCACCAAATACCAATCGAAAAAATACAAATTTTGAACTTTTTCGAGATAGGTTTTGTTTTATTTGATAAATAAGGGATTCGTTATTGTTGCTAACTTATTTTAAAATTGAGTTTAATAGTTTTTCGGTTTTTTAATGACAGTTGAATGGTTAGTGCTATTCCCTTAAACCTTGCACATTGTTCACATCCCAATGCCACACCCCCCTAAAGCAAATTATTTATTAAAATAAAATACATATTTACATATTTATTATAATTAGAAGACGGCAAAAGAAAAATTAATATCTCATCGAAAGTATTTTGTGGTCCTGAAAAGGACCGATTTGTACAAAGTATGCTAGCGCATTGGTCGCTAGTTGAGACCGTCTCAGCTTAAGCACGCTCACCGCGAATGCGACGGGCCAACTGGATGTCCTTGGGCATGATTGTTACACGCTTGGCATGAATGGCACACAAGTTGGTATCTTCAAAAAGGCCAACAAGATATGCTTCGCTAGCTTCCTGAAGAGCCATCACTGCCGAGCTCTGGAACCGCAAATCAGTCTTGAAGTCCTGAGCGATCTCACGCACCAGACGCTGGAAAGGCAGTTTGCGAATCAGCAGCTCGGTACTCTTCTGGTAGCGACGGATCTCACGCAGGGCCACAGTTCCGGGGCGATAGCGATGGGGCTTCTTCACGCCTCCGGTGGCTGGGGCGCTCTTACGAGCCGCCTTGGTGGCCAGTTGTTTGCGTGGCGCCTTGCCACCAGTCGACTTGCGAGCGGTTTGCTTGGTACGAGCCATTTTCGATTTCTATGTTGATATTTATATTCACTGATGTTCACTTCGCGTCTGAAAACACAATAAACGGTTGCCGCGTTCGCTGCCTGCTTATATAGCAAAATGTGAAGGGTTGGAAAGAGAAAGAGGCAGAGGCCATCTCGTTTGACGAGCGAAGAGACGAATATATCGCTCGGACTCGCTCGGACTCGCTCGGGTATCTATGGGTTTAGGTATAAATAGGGGCACGCCGAAAAATCGGAATTAGTTAATAGTAGAAAAGTGAAAAAAGACTGGTCGCGGTAAAGGAGGCAAAGGCTTGGGAAAAGGTGGCGCCAAGCGTCATCGCAAAGTGCTGCGTGATAACATCCAGGGTATTACGAAGCCAGCCATACGCCGTTTGGCTCGCCGTGGCGGTGTGAAGCGCATCTCCGGACTAATTTACGAGGAAACACGTGGTGTTCTGAAGGTGTTCCTGGAGAACGTTATCCGTGATGCCGTCACCTACACCGAACACGCCAAGAGGAAGACTGTCACAGCCATGGATGTCGTGTACGCCCTGAAGAGGCAAGGCCGCACCCTGTACGGTTTCGGCGCTTAAAAACAAGTACAGCTTGTACTTCATTCAGCAATCGGTCCTTTTCAGGACCACCACTACATCTCCAAAGCAGACAAATTTTCAAAACATTTTACGCTTTTTTGTTTTATTGGCTGGGAACTCCAAATTGTTAGTGAACAAAATCGAAATATTTAGTTTTCACCGCGAGCATTCGTCAGTTTCTCAAACAGGTAGAAAAATGTGTTGTAAAACAATCACTTACAGACATGTATAAAAATGTTTTTTGTTCAGACTGTACTGTTTCAGATGCGAAAGCAGTCTGTCTGATAAAATTATACAATAAAATTCTTATTTAACTTCCCGAACATTTTTAAAACCCAAGATGCTGTGTTCACTAGATACATATTTTTTATTTGAAATACTTTTTGATGCCTGATGTTCTATTTGAAAATATTAACAATTCTTTGGTAAAAACTTGGTCGTCCTGAAAAGGACGGTTGGGTATGTTTATGTACAAGTATGTAGTTGGCTCTGCTTTTGGAACGTTTAAGCCTTCTTCTCGGTCTTCTTGGGGAACAGAACAGCCTGGATATTGGGCAATACTCCACCCTGGGCAATGGTGACGCCGGAGAGCAGCTTGTTCAATTCTTCGTCGTTGCGAATGGCCAGCTGCAGATGACGCGGGATAATCCTAGTCTTCTTGTTGTCACGAGCAGCATTGCCAGCCAACTCGAGAACCTCGGCGGCCAGATATTCCATCACGGCAGCCAGGTAAACCGGAGCGCCGGCACCAACACGCTCGGCATAGTTGCCCTTGCGGAGCAGACGGTGAATACGGCCCACTGGGAACTGAAGACCAGCCCGGTTGGAGCGGAACTTTGACTTTCCCTTCACTTTGCCACCTTTTCCACGACCAGACATTTTGCTTTATTTCACTTAGTTCACTTAACACACAAAAACGAATGCTCGAGAAAAATTGGTAGCCACATATTTATACTTTTTTGCCTGCCTGCGCGTTCAGTTAGGGGTGGGTGCCTTATACCTGAAAAGGTTGCTCGAAAAAAAGTATAACCGTGAACGCGTTCCCGCTCTTATGATCAGTGAATTGTGTTTGTGAAATTAAAAGTGAACTGAAATAATGCCGCCGAAAACTAGTGGAAAGGCAGCTTCTGAGAAAAGCTCGATTTCTTAGAATTTCGAAATTCACAGAATTCAGATAGAGACTGAGAAACCAAAATAAATTAAAAAGAAAAATCGATACAGATTTTGACTGGAATAAATATCGATTGCAACCTGGATCCCTCTGTGGTCAAAGAATGTGAGGAGCAGCCGGCCTATGCCGTTGCATTAAACGAAAATACAAATAAAATAAAAAGTATTAAAAATATAAAATTTTCGACAAACAATCACAAAACGCGAAATGCCCCTTATACGGTAAACGCAAGAAATCAAAAAATAACCGATAGTGCCTTAACAAAGATGCAAACAAATATGCCAGCTAAAACTGACCCGGTAGTGCTTGCAGCCTCTGCTGACGAGCTTAGTGTTAGCACCAACCGAGAAATGGACTTCGAGGAAGCTTCTCAAAAACGTCAACGCAACGCCGAATCCTCGGCTGAAGACAGTCAACCCAGCTATGACACGAGCAGTGAAGAATCCTCCGTCTTCGACGAAGAGGAGGAAACTGATAAAAATACTCCTATTACCCAATCACAACTGAAGGGATTAATGGAGGAACTTGAGCTTCTACGTCAGGAATACCAACGCCTGAAGAACCAATTAATGCCCGAAAACAACAACAGCCTCGGGGCAATAAAAAAAAAGTCGAAAACAACTATAAATGCATCAGCGCCTACCTATAACGCCAATGAATTCCCGTCTCTTCCGGACGGCTCGCAGCGACCAAAAATCAACAAAAAGACGGTGAGCACCAGCAGCCCTCGCCACGACAACCTTAGGAATACCGGCATGAAACAGCCCAAACAGGAAGGTCCCAAGGAGCCCAAAAGATGACTGCGTCGAAAAAACTGATTCCACCCATAATTGTAGTATATACGAATGCTTGCAGTATGTGCGCAATTCTATTAAAGACAACAAGTTTTCCTTGAACATAATGAACAAAAACCTATTGCACATAAGGGTATTTTGCCTAGAGCACTACCTTCAGGCTAAAGAATTACTAACAGCAAAACAACTAATGTACTTTTCATACTCACCAAAGGAACTAAGAAAACACTCAAAGGTAATCAAAAAACTACCTCATGAGGTTTTTCAAGCCGACGATATACAAACGGCCCTTAAAGAAAGTTTGCCTCTTATTAAATCGATAACAGTAAAGACGTTTAAAAATAAATTCTGGTTAGTCCAAGTAGAAACCATTGAAGAAATGAAACAAGTTTTCCATCTTAAAACCTTGCTCAACTGCCGCATAGTGGTAGAGGGGCTAAAGAAAAACAAAAACGAAGTTAGACAATGTCACAACTGTCAAAGTTACACCCATGTAGGCAGCAATTGCAATATGGGATATAGATGCGTTAAATGCACGGCTCCTCATGGTCCTGGCCAATGCGCAATAAAAGAGTCCGAAAATCCGTCCGATAAAACTGAAGCAAAATGTGTAAACTGCAAGGGGGCCCACACTGCAAATGCAAAAGTCTGTCCAGTCCGAATCGCAGTTAAGGAAAAACAAATCAAAAACAGGAAAACCACAAATATCAAAATTGATCGCGTAAAAAGCAAAGCAGAAAAGTCAATAAAACTGAACAAAATTAAACGCAAGCCACCTCAAATCAAAAGCTGTCAAAAAACAAATCAAAAACAGGAAAACCACAAATATCAAAATTGATCGCGTAATAAGCAAAGCAGAAAGCCTTTCACTCATCAGGGGAGAAAAGAGTTTCTCATCAACGAATGACAACAAACAGGCAGCAGCAAAACCCACTGCAAAAAAAGTACAGCCACAACAAAAAGTAGCTACTACCAACAGTGAGCTTAATAAACATATGGAAAACAGATTAAGACAAACAAACCCTTTTGAATCCTTCAATAATGATACAATAGAAATTTTCGGCAACGACGTTATATCTTGCGTTGAAATCATGCAAGGGGTGACTGAAAAATACACCGGAACTGCAAATCTCAGCGGATCTGAGCAGAAAAGACAGAAGCAGGAGATTATTCTAGACTTCCTATTTCAAATCTCGATGAATTAAATGTCTCATCTTAAATGCATCTTCCAAAATGTAAACTCTATCGTGTCCCTACGAAAAAAGGAACGAACTAAACTCATTCTTAAATAAACATAGACCAGACGTCATGCTCATAGCTGAGCACCGTCTAAATCAAAAACACTTAATCACACTGTCCCATTATCAGTTTATTCGACAATTATCTAGAGCAACAGATACAAGAATAGAGCAAACGTCATGTTCTCCAAACTCAAAATCGAAGTTCCTCAGTTGCCATATGCCTAAAAAATGGAACAAAATACCAAAGAATAGAATTGAGGACAATTGCGCTTTTTAGAAGCAACAGCCGTAGAACTAAACTACAATCTGTCAAATGGGTTATGTCATAACGTCGTTGTCGTATCACTTTACAAGCGGCCAAAAGATCCTTTGTGCACATCAGATCTTAACAAAATTATAGACTCCATTGCTAAAATATTAATAGGTTTGCGACTTAAATGCCAAGCATACAAGCTGGCATGTCCCAACGCATAGTTCATCACACATAAATAGCAGCGGAAAGATGCTTCACAATTGGCTTTTGGGGCAACCAAGCCTCGTTCTCTATCCCACGGAAGAACACTCCCGACAGAACCTAAATAATAGGCATTAGTCAATAGATTTTTTCATATGTTCAAATGAACTTCCCGCCGATCTAGGTGATGGCTGTAAAGTCCTCAAAGACTTTGCATCAGACCACTTTGGTGTGGAACTAAAAATACGATTGGGAAGATTCCACCTGACACAGACGGACCCCAAGTGCATACACAATTTCAGAGAAATTAACGATCTCTTATGGAATACAATTATATTAAGAAACATAAGCCAGATCCCAAACAATAACAATCTAAGCTCAGCTGACATTGATGCACATATTGAACAATTCAATAGAGCGCTAGAACAGGCTCTAAACTCTTCGGCTGCCATCCCAAAAATTGTGTCTGACCCAACCAGAGCAATCAAAACCATTAGGCCCAGCCGCCTATGCCTAAACCTAATTAAAAATCGCCGAGCACTAAGACGTCTGCTCTTCAAACGGCAAACAACCTTACCAGCTAATAAAAAGTTGCAAATAAAACAACTTATAAGCAACCTTTCTATGCAAATAAACACTCACCTAAAAATAAGCCAACTAAAATTTGTAGAAAATCAAATTAAATATATTAAACCTCAAAACATAAGCCTAAAATTTTTGTCAAACAAAGGTTCAGAAAGCAAACTCCTAAGTTATGATATACACCCCACAGAAATAGAAAAGAATAATATAGATATACCCACGCCTGAAATCATACATTCCAAATTTGAAAAGGTTAATGCGCTAGCTTGGTCATTTGAACAGATACACAAACAAAACGAAAACATGACATTGAGCCGTTCGTCTCTACAACAGCACACCAGCCATGTCAATAATTCAATAAACAACAATTTCGACGAAAACTCAAGTAACAGGTCAAACATAGTAGACTTCAACAATAATCTCACTGCAGATAGTAACTGGAGAGAAGCCGACCAACTTGGTTTTACTAATGTCGAACAACTTCTTGATTGGATAAGAAACACTAGGAACTGACTGTTCTAGCAACTTTCTCCTAAAAAATTGTAACAGTTATAACATAGAATATTTCCCCAATAGCTGGAAGTGCAGTAGAGTCATCCCGATTCCGAAAAACAAGCAAAAGCCAGATCGACTCCAAAGTTACAGGCCAATATCCATCCTCTTGGCTATAAGCCAACTATTAGAAAAAATGTTATTGAGCCAAATAAAAAAGCACATGAATATAAATTCAATTCTCAAACCCTTCCAATTCGGATTTA